GATGTCTTCTACCAAAATCATTGAGGTGAATGCACCCATGAGAACCAGCGAGATAGTGGTTAGGATCAAGAAACCAAAATTGTACAAGAGCTTGAAGGATATTTAGGTGATATTGAATTAAAAAGATCTGATCGGCCTAAAAAGACTCATGTGAGGCTTAACGACTATGTCTTATCCTATGCTTGCCTAACAGAGGAGCATGAGATAATTTCTTATCGTGAGGCATGTGAGGTCGATGACGCTAGTCAATAGAGAGCATCTATGGGATAAGAAATTGAAGCCCTGCAAAAAAATAAAACATGAGATCTCGTCGAATTACAAGAGAAGCGAAAGGCAATTAGTTGTTGGTGGGCCTTCAAAAAAAAGAAAGGACTTGATGATACTGTTGAAAGGTACAGAGCTCGATTGGTTGTGAAATGCTATGCTTAGAAATTCGGTATTAATTTTGATGAGATTTTTTCTCCATGTTGTGTGCATATCCTTTATTGGAATTATTTTGGTTATTGATGTTGTTTTTACTTTAAAGTTAGAACTTTTCAATGTAAAAATTGCATTTTTGCATGGTAACTTAAAAGAAGAAATTTATACGACCCAACCTGAGGGTGTATTGATGAAGGTAAAGAGAATTTGGTTTGTAGGTTCAAGAAATCGTTGTATGGGTTGAAAAATGCGCCGAGGTGTTGGTATAAACATATTGAGCTTGAATTTTCATAGATGTGAAGCCGATCATTGTGCCTATTTTTGTGGATATAGTGATAGAAGCATTATTATCTTGCTATTATATGTCGATAACATAACTGTTGCAAGACTAAACAAAAAGAATATTGCAACGCTTAAAGCTTAGTTGACTAGGGAATTTAAGATGAAAGACTTGGGAGCCGTTAATTGAATTATTGGGATGAGTGTACTTAGAGATAGGAAAATCTAGTTAACTCAAAAAAGTTATATGGAGAAGGTTCTGCGACGCTCTAATATGCAAAATGTCAAATCAGTTAATACCCTATTTCATGTGCATATGAAGTTGTCTTTGAAACAATATCCTAACACCAAAGAAGAGAAGAGACATATGTCTCGAGTACCGTATTCATCAGTAATAAGGAGCATCATGTTTGCTATGATCAGTATCAAACCTAACATAACACAAGCAGTGGGAGTTATGAGCAAATTATATGGCAAATCCTGGTCGTGATCACTAGACTACTGTGAAGTGGATCATTTGGTATTTGAAGGGAATATGCAATACTGTTATTTGTTACAGTGGAATGGATTTGAAAGTCACTGGTTATGTTGATGCAGATTTTGCAAGTGACTTGGATAAAAGAAAGTCTACTACCAAATATGTTTTTCTTTAGGAGATGGTGCAGTTAGTTGGTTATTAAGGTTGCAGTCTGTCGTGCCTTTGTCTTCTATAGAGGCTGAGTATATGTCACTTACTCATGCATCTAAAGAAGTAATTTGGCTAAACAGGTTATTTGGTGAATTCTTAATTATGCAAGAAGGTATACCGCTTCATTGTGATAATCACAATGTCTTATTTCTAGTAAAGAATTCAGCCTTCCAAGACAGGACTAAAAGGATTGATGTTTCATATTACTTTATTCGTGATATGGTAGAAGATAGAAGAATTTTATTGCATAAAATTCATACTAATAACAATGTAGCTAATATATTGACTAAGCCCATAGGAAAGGGGAAGTTCACTTGTTGCACTACTTCCTTGGGGCTTGTGGTTACTTGATGATTAGTAACTAGTAGGCAACAATTTCTTGAAGCATACTAGTTAGAATGGAAACATGTCTTCAAGTGGGATAATGTTAAATATACATTGTGAAGCCATGTTTATGGGAGGTTAATCCCTATTAATTTGGGATCTACATGATCCCCTTTGGGTCATATCTTATTTCCTATTTTGTAGTCTCCTATTAACATGGGATATGAGATCTCATTTTTAAGGGATAAGATTCCATGTAGCAATAAGAAGAGTCACGTGACTTTTGTTAGGAGATTTTTTCTAATCCTAGTAGATGTGGGAAATCTATGGGAATCGGGAATGGGTAAAGATGGGTCACGTGAGTCTTTTGGCCTCTTTATATAAGTTGTCTTTTGTAGAGAGAAAAATATATGAAAAATAAGATATGCAAAATAGAGAGAATGATTAGTTCTTTAGTGTTTGAGGGAGAGAACTTGTAATCCATTATATTGCTCATGCTTGCATAGTATTTTTTCTTATTAGTGGAAGACAACTTTGCTGCCCCGTAGACGTAAACAACTTGCCGAACTACGTAAATCTTTGTGTTTTTTTTTTTATATTTGCCTGCACTATTTTTCTTTCCCTTATTTTTGCTAAACTTTGATTTTTATCCTCTACAACTATAAGGGCACTCTACCCAACATAATGACCATGATTCACAAATGTTTTATCAAACCAACCCAATCAAACCCATGATCCACAATCTCGTGCAGGGCTCATGATTGGCTTGTTAGAGCTGACCAATAAATATTGGAATCATAGTCCTGGAATGTAGATTATAGTTTCTACCTTAAGAGCAAAGTAATCACATATCACTTTAATGTAAGAAGGAACTCTCTCTACGCACATGCACATGTATCCCTCTGTACGGTTGCTCCCAGTAGTGCATTAATCATATATACATGTGCAAGATTTGTTGAGGATTTAGATATCGCTCTTACATACCTATATCCACACACATGAGACCAATCAACTCTCTTAGCCTACAAAGCATCATTGGACATCACTCCGACCTCAATAAGGGATGATTCATCCTAAAAAAAATTACAATTTTGAGCATCAGACGACAAACATTCATATTCCCACCCAAATTCATGGGCAATCAATGATAAATAAGATGAAAATAGAGTTTCTCTTTCTTAAATGAAAAACATAGCTAGTTCTTTTGAATTCTTTCATGCTATTGCAATCAGTTTTTCAAGTTGCATCCCCATTTTCCTTTGCCTTTGTTAAAAATGTTTTATAATTTTGCTTGCCTCCAACTCAAATACACCACCCACAAATGAACAGGTAGCATGTTCAAAGAAGAGATGCTTCACTCAACATGCAAAATACTGGAATTTTTTTTCCAAACAATAAATGATGCACCATTGAAGGTTCTCACATTAAAAGAAAATTTGAAGACATAATTTCCATTAGAACTAAATTCATTTACAATAAGAGTTCTGGCTTCTCGATATTTTTTACCTTGGAATTCATAACAAAGCACAAACACATAGAGAAAAAATACCTAAAAAAAAATTAGAACGTGTGATATTCATCGAGGAACCTATGCTAGAAAGGATAGAGAAACCTACTAATAAGACATCTTACACCTTTACAAAAAGCATTATAAGACCTACTAGACCTTTACGGGAAAATGGTAATACTGATAACGGATATTTGCAAAAAAATCTTGATTTTTTTGTAATTAAAATATAGTTCAATATATTTCAACAAGCTCCGTTTTTTAAGTGCATAAATTATACTTTTATTTGTCTTTTCTATACATTGGATTAAGCTCAAATTTAGTATGCACATACTTCTAACAATCAAACATGTATCACAAATAGTTAAAAATATCATTAAAAATTTAATAAATGACCAAAATACCCCTACAATGTTATTAATATTTTGGTAATTTTATTTTAAATTTTTTTTTAAAAAAGTTAGTGTTGGATGATGAGATATATAGACATATTAAAATTTGAGTTTAAATCAAATATATATATATATATATATATATATA